GTATTAGGCTTCAGCATATTAGTCGCCACATGGTGCATGTGTGAAAGGGATATGAATGATTCTGTGAACTGGGACCGTCAGGGTGCTCGGAGTTGACTTGTTTTCATGATACAGACAGTTCCTTGATGAGACTCCCAAATTTTGCGAATAGTAACTTTGGCAAGCTCCTAAGCCCTAAACCCTAAACATTGAATTGCCGCAAAACCCATTTCAATCTGGCGAATTGCGCTCAAGGCACCGCTATGTGCAGTGTTTTGCACGTTGCACTATCAATACCCTCTAGCTGCCCTCTATTCAGGCCTAGGCACCCACCATTGGGATTGTATAGCCCTGTAACTAAGCTACTGGGAAGGTCCCACTATTGGGATCCTTTAGCTATAGCCCTGTAATCAAGCTACTGGGAGTCTCGTGGTAGATGACAAATCCCTTGTTGAAATCGTTGCCATGTTGGAGTGACCAGCTGCGAGAAATTCTAGGGTTCGCCAAGTGGCACTTCCGGTTTTGGGTTCAGGGATTAGGGCTTGTTAATGTTCCATATTGCTTATAATCAATAACCTGTTCATGAATGATTCTGGGGGCCTTGAAAGTACCATCCAGGTTAGGTTTTAGGGTCTCCATCCTGTCACAAGTAGGCTGTGAGGTGGATTACACTCCTTTTCATCACCACCTGTCATCAGTCTCCCCCTGACGCAAAACTAAGCCCTACATTCCCTACTTCCCTCCGCCCCCAGCTGGGTTGTTGTTGAACCATGTCGTTCAATGTCCATTTATTCCCCCTTCTAACGATGAAAACTCCTTACCCGCCGATAGATATTTCCTCAACACGATACAATATTATTGTATTGGGGTTCATTGTCATTACTGTAGGCCAGAAGTTGTAGGGTAAGAACCCTAAACCCTAAATCTCAGGCCCAAAACCCTAAACCTGGAACCGGTGGGCCTTAAGCCGTGGATGGACTGCTGTTGAAGTCAGTGCTGCAAAAAAACGCAAAACCTATCGACTCTATGAACCCATGAACCCTATACAGCGTAAGCCCCTGAACTTTGTAAATTAACGCTATAGACCCCTATTAACCCTATAAACCCGACAAACCCTATAGACTCCATAAACCCTATAAACCCTACACCCTATCAACCCTAAACCCTATAAACTCTATAGTCCCTGTAAACCCCATAAACCCTCTCAACCCTAAATTACCTGTCATGTAGCCAGGGGAGCCTCGGCGAGCGCGCCACGATCTTCCTGTCTCGCGTCACGCTGGGATGCTATCGCCTCAGGGTTATATAGGGTTTAGGGTTTACGGTTTAAGGGGGGGTGCTGTATACAGGATTAGTGGAGTATTTTAGGGGTTATTAAGGGGGATACTAGGAGTTTAGACTGTAGCTCATATAGGGTTATGTGGTGCTATATGGGGTATGGAGGGTTATATAGGATATAAAAGGTTCTGTGCGCATATCTAGGGTTATAAACGGGCAAAATTGCATGGGGTTATGTAGGGTTATGCTGGGTTGGTGTAGGAAGTTCCCAGAAATTGATTGCTGAATGCTGTTATCTTTAGCCCTGAGAACCAGCTGAAATTTTGATTTCTACAAGGGTTACAGGAACTTAGAGCCTGTTGTACTGTCTTTTCCCTAAACCCTATACCCTAAACCCTAAACCCTGTTTTTGTGCCAGTCTTTTGCGGATCTTGAAGGTTCAGGAAGGGATTGCAATGGAGGGTGCTACTTGGCTATCTCCTTGGTGCTTAGGAGGGAATGGCGGAATGGATTATAGGGATTATTACTAGGGATTATATAGGGATCCATTCCCCCTATTCCCTCCTAAGCGCCAGGGAGTTATTGTTTCTTCTGGTTTGTCGAACGTATGGCGATGATGCTGGAGGGGTTGTGAGGATAGCCAACTTTCAGTCTTACATATTAAAGAGGAACCCTACAACACTAAAACCCAGAACCCTAGAACTCCCCGCAAAAAAGAACCCTAGAACCCAAAAAGCCCAGAACGAAAGAAGTCTAACACCCTCAACCCTAAAGCCTGACTTTACACCCTAGACCCTTTCAACCCCTGGGCCTTGGGACATGAAGCAAGCCCGGCTGTTGATTTAGGGGTTGGGGTTTAGGCTTCGGGGTTTTGGGTTTAGGGTTTTGGGTTTTGGGGGTTTGGGGTTCAGGGTTTGGGGTTCAGGATTAAGGTTTTGGGGTTTAGGTTTATTTTCACCTACCCTAAGCCTACTGCGGTCAGTCCTGAGTCCCTGAAGCCCCATAGCCACAGGCATTGCAATGCTCCAAACCCTAAACCTAACCCTGAGAGCGCCACCCTGAGGTCCCCTTGCGTAAATACTACACGTTGGATTCATAATATAGAGTTTCCAGAAGTAAGGGGCCTTTCTTTTTCGACCCAAGTTGTTATTTTAAAACAGGGGCGCCAAAATTGGGAGCCCTATTAGAAAGCCCCCATGTGCGAACCCGTTTGATGGCTGCAGAACAGCTTGTAACCCTCATAGACCCCCTTATAGACCCAAATCCCTAACCTCTGTCAATACCTCGAAGCTGAAGCCTAAACGCTAGGCAAAGCTAGCAAGCCCTGCTTTGTCAGTCATGGGTAGTTGAAATTAAGGTTCCAGGTAAGAGAGCTATAGCTGTAACCGCTTATGACTTGCAGCCCCATCCATGATACTTCTCGCCCCAATTGTTGCGATCCATGAACTTCCACACAAGGTCCCTACAAGACGAATCAGTCTTTGGAGCAGCTGCGGCGACCCCCTTGTGTGCAAGGCCCCACAGATCCCCGAAGAGAATTGCATTTGGCTCTTTGGGTCGACAGGCCTTGCATGGAACCCCCTTCTAGCTTTAAAGAAAGGATTACGCACGCAACATGGAAGGTTCAGGGTTACAAAGAGTGTTCGCCTTTTGCGAGTCCCTAGAATACGACGGAGTAGACTATTTGGGGGTCTATGGTAGGGTTCAGGGTGCAACTGCTTTCTCTTGCGGGCACATACTCGGACCTCAAATTTGGCAGAAGTCCCAGGATAGCCCAAAGATCTCAGGACTTTAGGTGGACCCCCCACCCAGTACTAGGGGCTGTAAGGGAGGATGGAGATTGTATGAGGGTCTTCTTTATAGACCTATTCTGCACTATTACAGGCTGGGGGACCCACTAAGCGAGGCTCCTCAAGTTCTTACTTCTGGGGTCTTGGGATTTACCTAGAGCTTTCGTTCCCCCCCGAGATGTTTTACAATTCTTGCATGAAGGGTATTTACCTACATCAAAGTCGTGTAGTGGGATTTAGGAGATGACGGATCAACAGCATGAATAGTGAATGTTGTTGTCGAAATGAGGATTACCTGGATCGTAACTATGGCGATGTTTGTTAGCCAGATTCTATGCGTGAGAGTTCTTCCGGAAACCAGTGCTTGTAACCCTTGGTACGCACCTACACGCATTTTTGTGAACAGTACGTACCCCAGATCGAACTGTTCAATAGTTGAATCCAAAAGAGCTATAGTCAGTACAGGGTCATGCAGCAGATGTTCAAAGGTGCAGGAGCGCTGCAAAATTGAGTGGGGATAGATCCGATTGTATACCAGGACCTTCCTTGTACCCTTAAATAGCGGTATATGTCCCTCATATTGTTTCTAGGCTATATACAGGGTAGATCGAGGGTCTAGGTACTCCTGGTTATGTCCGTGCCCTGGACTTGAGGAAGAACATGATGGCAGGGCATGATTGGATGCCTTTTTCCGGACTCAGGAACTCTTGCACCGAGTCATTCCATGTCTTCCCTCTCGCCTGATAGGAGGTTCATGGGCAAGGACATGCAAGTTCACTGGTTCTCTAGTTCAAGTTATAGTTGGAACTTGTCTCACTTATATCCTTAGTTGAAAACACCAATCTACCTTCAGGCGCTGGGTTTTTCAATATCTGGGTTCTGGAGTAGAAGATGGGCCCGTGCTCCGCCACAGGAAGGATGAAGCCCAAGGCAATCCCCAGCATAGAGTCTGAAAACCCCAAAGATACCTGTCTGAAATCTTATGTGGCACCAAAGTATTCGAAGCACTCGGCTACAATGCCCGTAAAATCCGATCCTTGTTCGGAGACGAATTTGAGCCTCAGGCGGGGTCTGTAGTGTTCTTAACATCCGCAAGCCACAAAACCCACAAATCGCTTTTCGTAGTCCCTCCATAACCCCTTAGTTTCAACAGTGGACCCTATCTTGAAGATGGACGCCGGTCGAAGCTGGGTAGGAAGGCTTTGAGTTGTAGGTGGTTGTAAGCTCCCGTGCACGTAAGGTTGTTCTTGCAAATGACGCTTGCATGTTGTGAAACACCTACACGCCTTAAGGATGCAACTGCGCACAAGCTTGTATGCATGCTTGCATGCAGGCATGTGCATGTCAAACCATATGTGCATACAGTACACACAATATATGCTATATAACTTACTGACACATTAATATATCTAGACCACCTCCTGCAAATCCCCACATAGATCCAGTACAATTCCTTAACCCCAATCAGCCGCCTATCAAGTGGGGATGCTAATGTTGAGAGTCCAAGGTGCATGTCGGCCGTCCCTGGCGCGAAAAAGGGGTCGGGGACTCCAGGAGGGTTTATAGTCCCCCTTAAGTAGATAGAATATGGCTTTGGGTATATTATAATAGGATCCCCATATACCCCATATTCTATCTACTTAAGGAGGGTTTAGGGTTTATGGAGACTCCAGGAGGTTACTTACAAGGATCAGGCTTCAGGGTTAGGTCCCTAACCGTGGATTTTTAGGGAGTGGGGTGGGGGCATGATCAGTGGCTAGGGGCTGGGGTCTGGGATGAAAGATTTAGCCAGCTTTGGAGGATGTGGAATGACAGTTGTGTTCCGGAAAGTACAGGCAAAGTCCGTTGCCACATGGCCACTTAGCCGCTCCTATCTGCTAGGTTTATGCGCTAGGGTCTAAGCGCTATAGTAGCAGCACAGCGTTTCGAAACCTATCTTTCGTGGCTGCCATCATGAGTGGCGACTGCACGCGCCGTATTTGAGCATTTCACAAAAGTATGAGGCCGCCACATAGGGACCGCCAATTCTGAAAGCCCTGTCATGCAATTGCATGACGACGTCAGAGACACACCCTGAACTACCCGCCAAACTACACGCAACTGCGTGTAGGCGCGTTTTTGGTCGTTAACTCATGTGGGGAAGTGGGGTTCTTCACACACCTTCCTGTTGAAGGCCTGCAAAGTCCTGCTGGCCCTACACGACTCATTTCTCTCCGTTGAAAAATATGGGTTGTTACAACAGCTGGATTTCTGTAGCCGCCCCTTCTATGATCCCCCAACAATATAGTAGCTTCCATTTTTCTTTTTGCTACCAGCAGGAAATGCAGAGGTTCGCTTTTCAAGACTTCTGAAGGTGCCCCTCTGCATCTGCAGCCACGAGCGCTTCGACTCCGTTATGGGCGACTTCGCCATCGACGGCCAGATAAAGCAGCAGCTCAGACATACCCAGACTACATAGACTTGGGGGTCTTGAACGAGAGCAGGGGCTAGAAAGCTAGGGCCTGAGTATCCGCCCGAACAAAGACGCAGGAAGATGAACCAGCAGCGCAAATCATGTTGTTTCCAGTCTTTTCCAGCTTAGGTTCACAGAGCCCTATGTGCACATCATGCAGGGCCTTGGGCACGCAGTGTTTGTTGAACGGCCAGGGCTTAGCACATCTTCTCAAGAAATGTCCAGCAGAGAGTGGAGCCAGAAGGTGCTGATGCAACGCGCAGGTACAATCCTAGAGCACGCAACAAAGGAAATCTTAAGGTATTCTCATCCCAGCCATATGGTGGGCAAATGTCCTGAGGATAGATTCTTGATTGGGAAGAACAACTGAGCCCATTGCTGGTTGGACATGAATGTAGCTTTTGGCTGCGGGCCCCCCTTACACACCTGACGCCTTTGCATCCCAGAGCATCACTTCAGGAGGTCTCTTGAACTTTAACCCCAACAAATTTTATGGTCACACTACAAAAAACCTGGAGCTACCACTTGAGCGCCCGTGATTTCAAGGTATCGCGAGTTCGTGGTGTATGAGAAGCAGTGCTATCCAGAGTTCTGTGTCATCTACGAGCGCATGCCCTGACCGGCAACAAAGCATGTTGCGTGGGACTGACATGGCAGTCCGAGTAACAAAGTCTCCGTAGGGTTTTGCAAGGTCATATTACCATTTCTTGAGACTTTGTAGTCGGGCCATTCATTCTGGTGCATTCAGATGCAGAGATAAGCCTGTCTCACACTATCTGGCCCGAGGAGCATTGGCCGTGCTCGCACTAAATCGAGAGTTCATGAGACTCATGTGTTTGAGGACTCGAAAAAAGCAGGGGCAGTCATCTGAAAAGGTGCCCTGCAATGGCTTCCTACTCCATGTACATTCTTTCGGCGTTGATTCAACAGAACCCCTGTCAAGCTCGCCCCTGATATTGAGCCATAATCTGAACTCCTTAAAAGGATGTAAAAAGAGATGAAAAAAGGGACTACTATGGGGGTTATTGAGGGGGATACTTGGAGTTCAGACTATAGCTCGTATAACCCTGCATCCCATACTAGCCTTTGTCAACTACCCTATATAAACCTATATACCCCCCATGCTACCCTATATAAACCTAAACCCCATATAACCCTAAATCCTAAACCAAAAACCTATGTTGTAACCCTAAACCCCAAGCCCTATACAACCCCACACTACCTTCAACACAAGTGACATGCTATGACAATAAACAGCCAATGCTCCAATGTCAAGCAGAGCCAGAAAAAGGCCGGTGGATCGTTTTTGCTATGACGACGTTTAGGGGTTGGGTCTTAGGACTTAGGGTTTAGGTTTGGAATTACGCTCGATTTCAGACGATGCCCTTTGAGATTCTTGTAGGTTGGAACCACAGCTTTCAACACATCTTTAGTTTGGGGTCTGTTTGATTCGGTGGTCCCATGGTTCAGGTTTAGAGGTTTCAGGTCAATTTCCGGAGGCTTCCCCAGCAGATGTCCCAGAATACTCCCTATACTAAGGAGCCCCGTAATCCATAAACCCTAAACTAATCCTCAACCCACATACCTGGGTTCCTGGGGCACCGCTTTTGGGAGAAACTCCCAAATGGGCGGACTGTCGCGTTGCTTCAGGGTTGCCACAACCACCGAGCCCGACAGATCGCGCTGTCCAAAAATCACAAGCAGTACTACTATTATTATTACGATCACTGTTATTATTTCTAGTAGCTATCGGTCTTACTAGAATTAATCACAGTTAGTACTTGCTATCCATGCACGCAGAAAAACTGGACCCCCCATCTACCCTCTATATACCTTGAGTTCCCACTGTTATACAGACCATATACCATTATTTAAGGGTACAAAACCTAAACCCTAAACCCTAAACCCTAAAGGAGGGTCCTAAAAGCTGAGGCAGATGCCTTACAGATCCGTAGCCTTTTCCTACGCTGCGGTGGGCTGAGATGGTGAGTTGTCAAAGGGGTCCCTTAAAAGGGGGAACATAGGGGATGTATACGGGGTTCCTATAAGGCCCTAAAAAGGGGGAACATAGGGGATATATAAGGGTTCTATAAGGCCTTAAAACGGGGAACATAGGGGATAGATACGGGGTCCTATAAGGCCTTAAAACGGAGAACATAGGGGATAGATAGGGGTTCTAGAAGGATATATATAGGCTTTAGGATTTGCCAAAATTAGGGGTACCTTTTTGAAATCTTCCGAAAAGAAGGATTATAGTATTTTGGGGTCTCCATTGAGGTCTTTTTTATTTTGGGAAGGTACCAAACTGCAAAGCCCGTTTCGAAACGAATGCCTTTTCGGGTTCCCATTCTTAATAAGAATCTGATTAAACTTCAGGTAAAGCGGAATTAAATTGTTGTGGCCACTGCGCACATCCTTTCAAATTGTGGTGCTAAAGGGCTCGCGATGACTGGTACTCTGCATCCATTAAGGTGCAGAGAAAATCAAATCTGAAGCTCGTGTTATCTGCATGTACGTATGGCTCCTTGTGTGCGACTTTTTCGTGCAAGCTTGTGCATCCCCAAATGTGAAACCCTCTAATCATGTTCTAGCAAATTCGTAGCTGGCCTACACAACGAGGCTAACGGTAGGACACCCATCTATTCCTGTGTGCGGATGTTTTGAGTAGGGGGTCCTTCACAAAGAGACTTCTAAACCCTAAGCCTTAAACCCCTAAACCCTAAACCACTAAAACCTAAACCCCTAAGCCCTAAGTAGTTTTTTTTCAAGAATCGTATCTTCCATTATCCCAATGTAACCCCAGGATCATATTTTCCATGGATCGGGAGACCCCCGCCATGGGCTAGGAATTACTTTTTCTGGGTACCCCAGTAGTACCCTTTTTCTTTTTTTTGGGGTGTCTCCTTATGAACAGTAGGAAAAAGGGTACCCTTATTATTTGGGGTTGACTGGGGAACCTAGTTTTTTACCATAGTAGAACCCTGAGGAATTCTTAAACATCTGATCTTTTTGTCGGTCTAAGTGTACTACAGAACAAACAGTATTCCTGGCCATAAGAGCTTCCAGACATCACTAGTTTTTTGCCTCTTCTGAACCAGCCCGTCTCAGGCGTGGAGGGCATCAACGAGATCCTGTCGGTGCCAACAGCGCCAAGGTGCATGTGTACCCAGTAGTCACGCAAGGGCTCCAAATCCTGGGCCTCTGTTTACAGGTAAACTAAACTATAGATCCAAATACATCCAAGCTTCTCTGCTAAACAATAAACATGGTCATGTTTTTTTCTGCGCTGCATGGGATTTCGTCCATAGGGCTCCTCAGGCTTCGTGGGACAAGGGTTGGCCATGGGGAGGGCTGGGAAGGGTCCTGGGCAAATATTCAATCAGCTGAGCCATAGCCTAAAGTTCTTTAAGGGGTTATATAGGGGATTGCAGAGAACCACTATAGGTGTTATTAAGGGGGATACTAGGAGTTTAGACTACGGCACATAATTTGCCACAGACATTGAACATTCTTCCTCCTGCTGCCTTTGACGTGGAGCTTTCCTGAGATGGATTCCAAAAGGTTTTCTGAACCCAAGGATTAAGTTTCCAGAAATGCAGGTCCTTCCTTCTTCTTTCCACATACCACACTCCTTGCTATAGGAAGCCCCCAAAAAGGGGCCCCTGACTGTTGGAACCCCAGATAATCTCTACAGTATTTGTGCTACGGAATCCTGATTGAGGTGTCACCTCCAGGTGCTTAACCTGAGGAATTGATGTGACGCCCGGAAACTTGTGCAAACTTTCACACACGAATGCCTGCATGCATGCATGCAATTACATGCAATTCTACATCTACAAGGTTGTCCTTGCAGACATATACCTAAATACATTTACTGAGATGTATATATATATATATATACATTCATGTGTATATATGGAATCGCATTCACACATGTATATATACATCTATATATGTATATATACACATATACATATATATATATATAGATAGACAGCTGTATGGAGTACGTGTATGCATACAAGTATGTACATACGCTTATGTTTGTACGTATGTATATACATACATATATACATACATATATATATATGTATATATATATATATACTCACGACTCACGGCGATACAACATGTAATCCCCCTTGATCCCCCCGAGTCCCCGCCTGCTCGCATACCTCGCAGAAATTGACTGAGAAGGGCAAGGATCCTTCCGGCCGCTTCACCATGAGAGTTAGAACGGATTTTTCTGTTTAATATTTAACAATTATGTTACTGGTACAATCCCAAACCCTAAGTGCTTAACTCGAAGCCACTGAACCCTAGACTAGAAGCCCTGAACCCTCAACACAAACCCTGAACCCCAGACCCTTCTCCCCAAACCCCAACCCCTTCAACCCTAACCCTTGAACCCGTATTCCTTCACTCCAAACCCTAATCCCTAAACCCTAAACCCTAAATAGTAGTTTCCATTTTCTTTTCCATAATCCCAATAAAATTCCCATAATCTATCTATTTCATCCCTTATTCCCTAATCCCTAAACTGTGTAGGCCCCTGGGATATTTAATATTTTCCCTAATGGCTTGAATAAGGGACCCTATATACTAATATTTTTCAAAGGGTTTCAGGGGCCAACCCAGTAAACCCTAAACCCTAATCCCTAAACCCTAAACCCTAAACCCTAATCCCTAAACCCTAAACCCTAAACCCCTAAACCCCTAAACCATCTCCAGGATCCTTTCTGACAGCTTTACCATCCTCGGGGGACCGCTGGCAGAGCAGCGCCGCCCTCGGTGCTCCCTGGGAAAGGGTTATGGTCCCCCTTAAGTAGTTAGGGGTTTAGGGTTTAGGGTTTAGGGTTTAGGGTTTAGGGTTTAGAGTAGAGACCCCCTTAAGTAGATAGAATATGGCGATTACTGCGGGTTATCCACGGTGATGTTATATTTTGTTATATTGGGATGTATAGGTGATTTAAGTTTATACAATAGGGTCGTATACGATTATACAAGGGTTTGCAAGTGCAAAATTATGGGGCTGTGTAGGGGTATTGTAGAGTCATATCAGGCTTATATAGGAGCATACAAGGTTAGATAGATATCATAGGGCTGCATTGCAGTGTATAGGGTTCAGGATTAAGATGAAGGACTTGAATGCTGGAGAATCGAATTGGAAGATTATGGAAAATTAAGTGGAATTTGTGTGCTTAGGGGTGGTAAGGTAGGGCCCTGAATAAATTGAACAAGGTCTTGAGGTACATTACAAACAATATGCTTAGAATAGGGGCATAATACATTGGTAGTTCTTCACGCGACCCATGATTTTCGAAGATAAGCTTTGTTTCTTGTTCGGTAGGTGGTTAAAGGCTGCAGTCACGGGTATTTGGGAGGTCTGAGTGGTGCCTAGGATTCGGAGTTTGGGATTTGAGGATCTTTGTGTAGGGTGAATGTAGAAGACTAAGTTATTGTTGGCCACATTCTGTCATGTTTTCATGTATGTATGAAAAATTCAACCAAATGGTAGCTGCTCCAAAAAACCCACGCCATACGCCCTAAAAACAAGCCTAAAATAGATAAGGTGATTCAGTCTCCCAACCCCTATGTATGTAATAAGGTTCTTAGTTTAGGGTTGGGCTAACTAAACTCCCCTTAGTAAAACAGCATGACTGAAGCAACAACTATCATCGCCTGTTCCTCAGGATCTCGAAGGCGGCAACAGATGTGATTGCTGAGCACTTCGACGAGTACTGCGCGGAAGAGCTCCAGCCGTGTCCTCGGCATTTAGGGTTTAGGGTTAGGTGGACCCCCCACCCAGTAATAGTGACTATAGCGGATAATAGGGATTATATTAGGGTCCTCTCATACTCCTATTATACCACTATTACAGGGTGGGGGGTCCTCCTAAGCTATAGATTTCACGGTTTGGGGTTTAGGTTTTAGAGTTCAGGGTTCAGGGTTTAAAGTTCACGGTTTAGCGATTTCAGGGTTCGGGATGTACTACAGGCACCAAATGATTACCCAGATCATCGCCCCAGATTCCTCACAAGTTTGGTATAGGGTCCCTTATGGTCCCTTGAATGATCTCAAGGAAATACTAACAAGTGTTCTAGGCCGCTACAGTAGAGGTTCGGGGTCTTGCATGTAAGGAGTCATCTTTTTGAGTAGATGGGCTTAGGGATTTTAGCCCATTTTCTGTTTCGAGTCCCACACCTCCGAATCGCCATGACCTCAACAAAAAGATTCATGATGCATTCATGTGTGGGTTGCGTGTTGGGGGCCGTACGAATCCGATATCAAAAGGTCGGTTTTTGGTTCATGCAGGGGCTCGTATAGGTCCTTTCTGCCTGGGGCCTTGCATGCTACAGTTTAACTTGCCTTTCGGCACATCGCCCCACTCAGAAACAATTAGATAATCAGTGGAATCTGAACAGAATATATAACAGATGTTATACACTTGAAACACACTGTCACTGGGTGGAGGCAGTACCCAGAATTGGAATACGCTTGTACTTCTAGTAGGCTTTTCAAAGCAGACGCCCTCGAGGCTGCCTATACCGCCTCACTGTTTGCAATTGCGAGCCTCTTGTAGTTTCCTAGTTGAGGAAGCCAGGCAAAACCCAAGCCTCAGACCCTCATCCGACTCATCCCTAGAGAGTCCCAGAAATATCATCCTTACATAAGCCCTACAGAACCGCTATCTGGCAGGAGGCTCCCTCCCAGCACTCTGGCCCAAATCCTGCGACGGGACGACCTCTCTGTGATGCACGAAAACGAGGCTTGGGGTACTCACGAGGTGTCAGGGCATCTAGAGATAGACCGAGATGATGTTCAAATCGTGCTTATCTAGCATCCCCACCATGGTTGTCTCTCTATGTTGCCCCTGTATGATTCGTAATGAGGACCCCTAAAGTCTCCTTGTGATTATCATTTGCCCAACTGCCGGGGCGGAACATAGCTTCATGAATGAGCAACTGAGACAGACGCTAGGGGCCGCAACAAGAGATGACCTGCTGCAGAAGACCTTCTATCCGCTAGCTTCGCAAAAACATCATACATGTTGTTGCCTCTATAGGGAGCTGATAATTTGTATAGAATTTGTTTGCAGGAAAGGTTTGACGAGCAAGAAATGCAGAAACCATCGGCAGTAAGTTTATAGCAGTAAGTTTATAGATTTAAAATGCCTCTGAAACTCGTCCTCTAGCTCTAGTCCGTGGTGCTCCTTGGGAACTCACGGCCTATGTAGGGTTTAGGGATTAGGGCTTTGGGTTTAGGATTTAGGGTTTAGGATCTGGGGTTTGGGAGTTAGGGTTTAAAGGGTGTAGGGTTTGGGGTTTATGTACCACGGAATATTTCCGCTACATACACCCGCAGGTGCGTCCTTAATGTTCAGCAAATGTCGAGTATGGCGAATTTTTGGGGATCCCTATCATATGCGGCCCCAGATATTCCGAATACCTCAGAAGAGACCAGAATTCGTTAACTTCCCATACAACTCAGGATCCCGAAGGACACCTTACCCCTGGAATCCTAAAACGTAGACCCGGAACTCTGATCTGGACTCCTGGAACCCCACGCGGTTTCAGGGTTTAGGGTTTAGGGTTCAGGGAAGTTTCTCAAAGTTAAAAATATACAGCCCCCACTTTGCCACGCCCAAGCCCAAGTCCCTTTGACCCTGAGCCTGAGCCCCTAAACTACGTAGCCACAGCCCCATAATCGCTAAACCCAAATCCATACACTCTAAGCCTAAACCCTAACCCCTAAACTCCATACAACCTAAGCCCAATCCGACTCCTACAGATCTTCGACTTCGTGGTGGATGCTGCAGGTAGCCTTGCTTCTTGCGGAAGGGGCGAGGAGGCGCCTCCACTCCTATAGTGGTTTAGGGTTTAGGTGGTCTAGGGTTTACGGTTTAGTACGAAACAAGATCCTGGGGGTTGCCCAGTACATGGGCGCCCACAAACTAAGGCCTCATGAGAGGTTATCAGGGATTATCAAGGACTTGTTCACGCTTAGTGGATCTTAGCACTGTGGGGTGCGCATATTGAGCGGGCCATGGTAGTCCTATGACAAGAGAGGGTTTCGGAGTCTAGGGTATGGGGTTCCAGAAAATGTGGTTGAAAATGCCGTGCGTTATGTAGGGCATCTAGGGTTTCGGGCTTGGAGTATATGACAAAAGTTGGGGTTATATAGGGATGTCTGTGGTTTAGGGCCTTGAGCATCGGGGCTTCCCGAGCAGGACTTTTAGGGTTTAGAACTCAGGGCGAGGGCGGGTCCAAAAGTTGGGGATTTCTCATTGTAGGGTCACTGGAGTAGAACAGGGAATATGTTTTTTTTGAAATGCCAAGTTTGGGGGTTAGGACAAAGGGTCTTGGAGTTAAGGTTTATGCGGAGCATCTATATGTCTGTAAGCGTTAACCGTACCACGATGTAGGACTACTTTCAGCCCCAAACGTTCAGAACACATATTATGCCCGGTGACGAAACAAGATCGCAATAGTAATAGGATTAGCAATATATAGTAATCATAGTAACAGCGATAATAGTAGTAATGATAGTAATAACAGTAGTAGCAGTAGTAATAGTACTTGGAGGGTCAGGGGACTTTGTACGTAGGGTTAAGAACGGGGATGACTAGGGTTAGTATATGATTCAGAGGTTGTTAACCTCCCCTGACCTCCCAAGGAATAAAAATCTCATTGTAGTAGCCTAGCCCACAACCCAAAACCCTAAGCCCTTCACCCTAAACCCTAAGAACTTAACCCTAGACCCTAAGCCCTTAACCCTAAAACCTAATCCCTGGACCCTTAGACCTTTATGGTCCCCCATTAAGTAGATAGAATATGGCTTCGGGTATATAAAAATAAGACCCCATATGTCCCACATTTTATCTACTTAAGGGGGACTATAGTTCTAGTGCCTGACCCACAAGACTTGCGAGGCCACTCAACTTTGGCAGCCCGGGCCTTGATGTTTTGAGTTCCCAGACCCCTGGGAGGGTTTTGGGTTTATAAGTCGGATCCCCTGTACAATACTTTCATGAAATCCTACATCATCCCTATGTAGTTATCAAAATGACTCCAGGGGATCCAATTTTTAGATGAGCAGGATTTTATTTGGGTACGTGGTATCTTGTACGCGCTGCCGCGCAAGTTGCTAGGCAGGAGGTAGAAGGAGAGAAGTTGGAGAAAACTGCCATATAACCTCTCTCTACCCCCAGTTTCCATTTCATTTTCCATTTCATTTTCCATTTGATTCTCCATTCTTGGGGGGTAGAGAACCCTTAAACCCTAAACCTTAACCCCTGGTTTGCTGTGAAGCAAACTTGCTGTTCGCAGGCTCGCCTTTACTCTTTATGGCCGAGTGCCAGTCGGCTTTGAAGCGGCCTTTGCTTCGTCGTACCCCAACATAGACCCCAAAATACTATAGTCCTTATTCTGGGGACCCCTCAAAGGGTACCCGTAATTTTGGGAAACCCCCATATTGTATGCTTCCTATGAGAACTTCTGAACCGCGCATGTTAGAGACATGAGGCACGGCCAAATGGTGCGACTGCATGATCTGTATGAATTATAGATGAAGCTGCCTGAAGCCCCTTCAACAAGCCCGCAGCACGAGTCCAAGGTCGATTCGCTTCGGGGCCTTGTCCAACACTTACATGGTCGGGGTCTCAGACGAGCAAAGAATTCTGGAGTTTCCACAAGAGAGGGGAAGCTCTCAACAACAAGCAGCAAACAAAGAATCAACGGCAAGTTCAGGCTGACTCAGATGCATACCCCTATATAACCTCTATATACCCCACTAGAATCTAGTAGTTTCCATTTTATTTTCCATTATCCCTATATTGTACCCCCTCCCAATATTATAATAGCAAAATCCACAAATCCTCAATGTCTTCATCCCTTGGATTCTATGCGGGGTTGCTCAAATTCAAGGGTCCCCTTCAGGGGGGAGGCTAAGGTTTAGGATTTAGGGCTTAGGCTTTGTCAGGGCTAAGTTGGGGTTGAATGCATACTTGTCTAGCTCATGTTCCACAAGCCTATTTTGGGCGCTTCGGGGTAGCTTGAAGTCTAAGATTATCCTAAGACATGTCTTTAAAGGGGACACAAGCGGACCTGCTAGAATAGAATGGTTTATAGTTCCCACATCCCTGGTATCCTTCATGGCCCCCCTACTTGGAGAGTCCTTCTCATGACTCACCAACTTGTTCTCATGGTACCCATTCGCAGGGATGTTTAGGGTTAAGGGTTTAGATTATCAGAGGTTATCGCAAAGATTGCTACAAGCCATGATGCTACTATAGTGGTTCCTGGGGTACTTCTTTAGGGGTTTCACATGGAGCACTGTGAGGACTGGTTCGGGCTCCGATAGAAGTTTTGCTCCCCAGGTCCAAGAATTTCCTTAAACAGGATGACCCCAATAGATACACCCAAATGCAATAATCCTTATAATAGGGATAGGGCCTCCCAAAAGGGTATCCTATGGTACCCTTTATTTTGGGGAAAAATTCCCCAGGTCAAAGCTGCAAAGATCGAGACGATCCCGCGCATGACCCTGATTTGGTCGAAGGCCCTTGCAAGTTGGCCAACTGGGCGACGTGCATCCTCATGCATTGCTAGGAGTATATGGGTAATTCTCACAATGAGGGTCCCATTTTGGTATCCTTAACTACTCGGTGCCGTAGTATAATCTATAGTCAGGAGTCAGCAGGGGCCCATAGTTTTGAGAACAACCCGTGCGAAATATCTGTGACGAGCATGCTACTTTCTACTTCCACTTTCATAGCACCAAACCGCGAGCGCTCTCACTGGACATCCCTTACGCTCGTTTCCTTGAAAGCGCATAAGGTGTCTTGCTTTGATGTGCCACTTCCTACTTTTTCCAGGACCTTGCAACCGTAGTAGAAACCCTTACAAGCAAGCTTTCTTTTGCCTAGGCTTTGCAGTCTGTGCCCATGCTGATGTTGCAGGTCTTGAACCGGAATGGAAATCAGAACCTCGAGGCTCTCCGTTTCTTCACTGTAGCTTTTATGGGTACTTTGGTGTTCTATTGGGGTCATATAGGGATGATGGAAAGTGGAGTGGAAACTAGTTGTTAGGGTTTAGGGTTTGGGAGGTTGCATGCTGGAGATGTTCCTCGATCCACTTGGTAGCTTACTAAATCTAAGGGCCTCATGTCCTAGATGTCGTTAATGTGTTGGAACCCTTTGCTGTTGCAAGGGCCAGTAGGTATACATATTAACGATAGGAATTTCACTGGCTTACCGTTTAGGAATGAGGGTTTAGGGCCTCAGAGGCACTGCCCTCGCGCACTGAAGGCTGCCACGTAATCCGGTAATTCAAGCAGTCTTCGATCCGGGAGCGCAATATCGCCGATGTCGCTCTATCAAGAACCATCCAGACAAGTAAGCACCAAAATGGCTTGAATGGTGTTGTGAAGGCATCCAAACCTGAAATCCTAGCCTATGCATTACTGTCAATGTTGGGCTTACCGAGGGACCATTAAGGGTGGACATAGGGGTCTTTTTGGTAACCACGCATAGCCTCTCAAAAGGAGCCCATGCCCAGTAGTTACCTAGATGATTACAAGGGAAATATATGAAAACATTAATCCCTGTAACCCGCGACATAATCCCAGTTTCCACTTGATGTTCCATGTTCTCTGCCGCGCGAAGTTCCATTATTGGGCAATAATATTCCTAAACCGCTTAAAAAAACTTTTTTAACCCCTGCAGAACCCATATATGTATATGTACTGGCGGTAGCTTATATACCGAAATCCCAATTCCTCAACTCCAGACAGCAGAACGGCTCAGCTTTGTGCTGCAGAAGCATTGCACCCTAAAACTCAGGGGGCGTTAAAAAGTGGGATGAAGGTTTAGGGCTTAGGGTGTAGGGTACAGGGATTAGGGCTCAGGGGTCAAAAAGTGGGATGAAGGCAGGTGTCGCGGCTCATTTCCTATAGCCCACCTTCTTTCACCTCACATTTTGTGCTCTCCAACAAAACCCCTATAGGCATAGTCTTATGCCCCGTTAGAGGTACCTATGTATCGCAACACATCCCTGTTTGAGCCGCACGCCCCCTACCCTAAACCCTAACCCCTAAACCCTAAATAGTAGCAATTGTCTTTTCCATTATCCTAATATCACCTCTATATATACATATATATATATCCTACTATAACATAGTAGTTTCCATTTTACCCAAAACCCGAACCCCTAAACTCTAAATAGTAGCCATTGTCATTTCCATTATCGCAATATATCCCCCTTTCCACGGGGACCCTAGCCCTGTGCTGCAGAAGCTGATGAATGAGCAGTGCCTCTCCGAGGGTTGGCCAATCCCAGCTGCGCCGAACCCACGGAAGCCCTTCAAGGACTTGGGGTTGGGATTTAGGGTTTGGGGCTTAGGGTTTAGGGTTATATAGGGTTTAGGATTTGGAGTTAAGGTTCAGGGTTTAGGGCCTTGGGCTTGGGTTTTAGGGCTTAGGGCTCGAAGTAGGGGCCTTTTTGTGAATCCCGTGTTTTATGCGTGTGGCTGCGGGGCGGGGAGGCAGGTGCCCGCCAAGGCGCAACCATTCGATTATTGGGATTGTGATAACATGATCCCTACCAGGACCCTCCTTGTACCCTGAAATGATAGAGGCATATGGTTCCTAATAGTGGGTAGTTAGGCTATATAGAGGTGGATGGAGGATCTAGGCAATGAGTAAGGACTCCGTACATCACCAGGTATATTGTTTTTGCATTTGGTGATTCCTGAAGATAGGAGCTGAGCCTTGAAACTTGCAGTGCTGGCAGCTTCACGCTTCTACACGATACTGCAGTTTTCTTATGAATTTTTCATTATGATTCTAGTATAACCTCTAGGAATTGGGAATTGTTGTAATTAAAGTTACATGCTCTTTCTGGTAGAGTATATCCCCTAGGAATTGGTTTAAAAAAACACTATTTCTATTATAGGTCTAGCGGGATTATGGGATAGGGACAGTCTCACAAGGTCCTACTTGACGCCAGGTGTAGTTTCCTGCTCACGCGTTTCAGTTATTTCGAGGGTCCTAGAGTGTGTGTGTGTGTGTATCCCTAAACCCTAAACCCCAAACCCTGAACCCCAAACCCTAAACCCTAAACCAATCTTCTGACACAGCGATCCAGACGGATTCATCCCATGGGAGTGCCTCCCCAGAAGGGCATGAGACCCCTTGCGCTTAGCCGCAGACGCAAAAGTCCGAGTATAGGTTAGGTTTAGGGTTTAGGGTTTATGGAAAATAAAATGGAAACTACTATAATATATAGGGGCTATATAGGTTAATGGAAAAAATGGAAACTACTATAGTATAGGGCTTAAAAAGGAAACAATCTTCTGGATTTGCCTTGAGCAGCATGCAGGACATGACGTGCCAGGGCCTCAGTGCGCTTGCTTGGCTCGACTTGCCGTGTAGTTTTGGTTTTAGTGTGTAGAGTTTAGGGTGTAGGTTTAGGGTTTCAGGTGAGCTCACGCTACCATGAGATAGAGCTAGTTGCAGAAGCATCAGTAATAGGGGCCGCACTGAAGTACCCGCAATGCAAGTTATCCATGCCATGTCCATCGGATTTTCAATTACCCCTAGACGACAAATTCTAGAATCCTCGTCTAAACTCAACCCCAAAGCGTAAACTTTGAGCATTGAACTCTCGAGCTGGCTAAGGCGCCGTGATGTACTCGGTGGACACGGATGCCCGGAATGACCAGGATGTCGAGCGAAACATCACCGCGCCCCAACGGCAAACTCTGTTTCAGGGTGTAGAGATGAGAGTTTATGCTGTTCAGGGACATTTTTAGGATTCGGGGTGTAAATAGTAAAGGGGTTTCCCATTTATGTTTGAAGGATGCGAGTTTATAGTTTAGGGTTTGACGTAGGTTGTATCGCGTATGTGAAAGTTATGGAAGGTGTGATTCATGATTGCGAGCACTCGAGCGGCTTCTGTGATGGCAGAGGACGGATGTATATTTTAAAGCCAAGATCCATACTATCAGGTCACAATTAACATGATTGATGCTGCTCATTACCGATAGCTTTCAATAATTATGCTTATAATGGAATTTTGGCTCTGTACAAACCCAGTGTTGATGTAATTTTCATGTTCCATTCCGTGCTCCAGTATCCCTGCACCTTACATAACTCCTATACATCCCCATATAACCCTTTAAAGGGACCTTTGGTTTCCACAGCATTTCCATTTTTCCATTTGACTCTATTCGCGGGGTAATATCCCTAAAATCTAGACCCCATGCCTTGTATGACTCCTGTACAATCGCTGTATCTCTCCATTTTCGACATTCCATCAGTTCCAGGCTGCGACGCTGGTGGCCGAAGAGATCGAGTTCCTGGGCGGGCGGGCAATCCTGGAGAACATCTTTGCAAGGCGGGTGGGTTTTGGGTTTTCCTACTTTGCTGGGCAGGATCTGGGGGTTAAGATTTTTCGTAGCGACAGTCCACTCAAGTAGATAGAATATGGAATTGTCACAAACCATACTGAGATCCCCAAAGAACTCATAGTCTGTCTACTTCATCGGGGCTGTAAACCCAAAAGGTTTGGGGTTCAGGGTTTGAGAGTGCTTAATCTAAGCAGCAACAGGGGGCTGCATGATTTTGCCCAGAGTTTTCCTCTGAAACTTCATGATTTCAAAACTAGGCGTTCCAAGCTGCGGAGGGGGATTGGCGAGGACTCTGGGGTGTGAGGCAGGCAAAAGTCGTAGCTGGAGCAGAGTCGAGTTGAGTTTACTGCAACCTTTGTCATGTTATAGCTGAAGGCCTACCTGTACAGCTTCGTAGGAACTACCCCCTAATTCTGTAGGTAATTGGGGTTGCAGGGCTGGATCGAGGCTTGTGAGGCTGTTGTGAGGTTCGGCGAGCAGTTCCTGGGTTAGGTTGGGCCTGTGAAAACCACCAAAAAAGCAATTCTAGAAGCTCCTTGCCAGGACCCTCCTTGTACCCTTGAATAGTGGTATATGGTCCCTGATAGTGGGTATCTAGGCTATATAGGAGGTAGATGGAGGGTCGGTCTGTCTGGGGCCCCCAAGCCTGGATGGATTTTGTTTTTCGACACCCTTGGAGTGAGAGAAGAATCTGAAGTCGCAGCCAGGACATGGGATTTGAGATCAGCCTGACAGTCTGATAGAGACCTTATATCCACGTAGTCCATGTCAGGCCCCTAACCACAAACCCAAGAGATAACTGGTGAAGGCAGCCACCAGCGCGGGACTGCGCGGAGGGGACCATCATCAACATGGAGCAGGCCGTTGCCTCAAATCTTGTCGGCCTTCCTTCCTGGAGACTGACACGGAGCCTCATGAAGCCCCTACATCAAAGGACAGTAGTCTTTGTAGGGCCCCATTTCGGCTTGCATGGTTGGAGGAAGGCAGGGTGCCGGGATTTGGGGTTTCAGGCTTCGTGCTCTAGAGTACCTGTGCAGAACTCTTTCGGGTTGGGCTTGGGGTCGGGGCAGAAGGTTTTGTGAATTTTAAACAGACCAAAAAGTGGGTCTGTCTGAGGCATGCCTATACGGGAGTGCTTTTTGTAGTCAGTCCCCCTTCAGAAGGTGGTAGAACCTAGAAACTGGCAAAGCCACGATGCGTTTCTTTGTGTGTCCTTTACGTTGATATTTGCTTGCGGTGGGCTAGAAAGCTTCATGTTTGGGAGAGACTCGAGAGACCTGCCCATGTTAGAAAGAGAGAGAGAGAGAGAGCTCCTCTGGGGCACCGACTGGAACTCGTGCAGACTTTTTGGCGCGGGGCGGGACCCGGAAAGACGTAGGCCTCCCTTTGGTTCTGAGTAGGGAATGTGGGAATGAAATCCCCATACAACCCCTTTGTCATATATTCTTCCCTACAAAGCACCGGTAAGACTAAACGTAAACCCTAAACCCCAGCCCCACCCTGAAACCCCAAACCGCGGACCCCAAGCCCAGCCGTGCTTGGCTGGGACCAGGGGAATGGACGTCCGTGGACAAGCGTGGTCCCTCTATGTACGGGCTTTCCCACACTTAGAGGTACCTTATTCAGGGTCCCCATAATCAGGATTACAGAATATAGGGGTCTGTATATGGGGTTTCCCAAGGTTAGAATTACCTTATTGGGCATCCCTAAAATGAGGAGTACAGTATTTTTGGGTGTATAATGGGGTCTCCTATTTCTGGAAACTGCCGTATCACATGTTCTCATTGCCTTTATTCTCACAAAGCCTGGAAAAGCCAACGGATCCAAATCCCGGACTCTAAACCCCCTAAACCGTAATCCCTACACCGTAGCCGCCAAGCCCCAAACCCAAAAACCGTATACCGTGGCCCCCATAAACCCTATAATCCCTAAACCCTTTAAACCCTAAACCCTATACTGTTACCTTCCATTAGCAAAGCTTATCAGATTGATGTCGCCTTCGTGCTGGCTCCCTGGACTCCCTCGGACAAGCGCATCGCCCGCCTCATTAACTTTGTCGACCAAGGCTGGTCGATCAGATTTCAGGTCATTCAGGGGTCTGGGTTTAGGATTTTGGGTTTTAGGGTCTAGGGTTTTAGGTTTTTAGGGTTTAGGGTCGAGTGCTTAGTGTTATATAGGGATGGTACATGTGGGGTTAAGGGATATTATCCCTTAAGATGGAAAAGCAAATGGGAAGACGTTTCCAAAGCCCTCCTATAACCCGCAAATGGGGTTATAATGTCCCAAAGAGTAGTTACATAAACCTGAATGCAGGATAGTTGCGGGGTTTATTTTCACACACTCTTTTCTGACTCCTTCTGTTCTGCCTTTTGGGGGGGAGGCTTGTGTCACTCCAGTGCTTCTATCCTTGGGCAAAATGTAGGACTCAAGTCTAGACCCCAAAACCTCAAACTCTAAATCCTAAACTCTAATCTGAAACCTACACCCTGTAAACTCTAAATCCTTGAGCCGTTCCGTTTCCGAAGGTGGAGGTGCTGTCCTTCTCTCCTTCATTGGTGGCCTCAGTAAGGGTGCAGAGACCTCAGCTTGGAGATGGGCAGGATATTATCCCAACATGAAGAATCAAGTGTGAAAGGGAAAATGGAAAGCTAAAACGGACACCTGGGCTTACATACACAGAGGGTTTTTGGGGTTGGTGGTGTGCGGAAGCTGTTTATTGAGTTGGCTAGCAAGTCATATGACTGCGGTTAGACCCTTACCGATACACTGACAGTTTGAAAGCTTGCTGGCCCAAAAAGCTGAAAGCAGGTATTAAAACAATCCTCCTGCAAAGTTGCGGAATGATTTTTGCTGGGCTGAAGAAGTACTTGCTTTGGAGGGGCCACTCTAATCCCATTTCCATGTATAGCACTTGTAGGACCCTTACATAACCCTCATGGTGGCCGCAAGGGTAACCTTTGAGGGTCCCCTATTTTCCGGATCGATATGTAGAAGAAGCTCGTTTTTGGGAAGACCCTCAATGACTGTTGCGTACCTCAACAACCATCCATTGCAAGCAGGGATCCATGAGGCACAAGCCTTAAACCCTAAACCTTTAACCCTGAACACAGTGAACCGGCAGTTCTGCACAGAAGTGGCAATGTCTGAAGGGCTTTCTGCCATGTCATGGTGTTTTGAACTTTGCATTTTCTGTGAAGACTCATGTTGTGGGATTTGTGCTTGAGCAGCCCAACACACGCCAGCTGCATTTTTACAGTCGGTCAGTCGATGAGTTGCGATTTCGCGCAGCAACGGCGAATCACTAGGTATGTGGCTCAACAATTGAACCAACTCAAGTGCGGAAATCCCCAAACCCTACACTCCAATAAGCGCCAAAAAAACAATGAGCACATTGGGCAGTTGAGGCTTTAAAACCCATAGTCTGGGGTGTGTGTGCAGCCACCTAACCCGGGTGGGAATGAATTGGATAGTTTAGAAGCTTTAAGTACTCACTAGTATCATTCCCCTGTAACCCTGAGATAGCTTTAGTTCTAAGCAAAAGCCTGCGCTGAAGTATGAATGTACCTGATAGCATCACTTATCTTGTTTGGCTGCTAAGGATACGACGAGTCACAGCTCTGCAGAACACCTGACATACTACTAGGAAGTACCTGGACCCCAAACTTCGGGAAAGTTATGGGTTGAAATAAAACCACCAAGAACAGCCAAACATCCTGTTACTCTACATAATTTGGGGGGGTCCTAAGCCCTAAACCCTTCACCGCATGGCTGAGGTTTGGCGAGATTTGGAATATGAGCCGCTGATCACCGGAAAGGCCTCAGTTGATGGTTTTTACTTTGACTACTATGACGGGGATTAGGGATTAGGGTTTAGGGTTTAGGGTTTTAGGGTTTAGGGTTTAGGGTTTAGGGATTCAGAGTTTAGGGATTCAGAGTTTAGGGTTTGGAGCGTAGGGAAGAGATAAGTATTGGAGCTTATATGAGACTACTACGTACAGGACATAGGTCATGATATGGCGGCCATTATCGGGGATGACTTGCGTGCTCCCAAAGATGGAACCTGAAGGGGTAGTTTGTAGACGACTATCCTTCCATATTTGGTTCCCTGAGCCCTCAGCTTTGGTCAATCGGGGCAGGGGGGGTAGAGGTTGATGGATTGGGATCAGCCTATATGGGAAAAGATAATGGACCATGGATGGGGGAATGTGGTTACATAGGCGTTTAGGGTTTGGGGGTTTGAGGAACATACATTACTTCATCATGGTGGGTGCAGGGTTCCATATGTTCAAAAAATTGGGGCCTTCACCTGGGAGGTCCCGTCGAGATGATAGAAGTACTTTGAGTACCTGATCGCCCAATGAGCTTGAGCTTTTCCTAGCCCAAATCCCATCAAACTGCCAGAGTCTGACTTTCCATGTCATGCTTGGTCTTAGTGTTCTGCGTTTGATTCTCCAGCACAGCGGCCATGGGTTCTGCGTTCCGTACGGTTCCTTTCCATCTAAATCTGTAGTCCATAGAAACAAGGCTACTCTTTCTTGTAGTACGTAATTATGCTTACTGGGAAGATCAAGCCCAAGATAGCCCCTACATGCAACCGACATGAAATTGGGGTTACATAGGAGCTTAAGGCTCTTAAGCTAAGGAACCATTATGGGGAAGCCATAGGCTTATGACAAGTTTATCTCCGTCCCGTCGAAATGCCCAATCACATGGCTAGAGGACGGCTAATCCAGATTTCTCATGTGGGCGTCGGACAAATTCTACGAAAGAGGCAACATGTTTAGGCTTGCTATGAGATCTAAAGCTGTCCCTTTTTTTCTTTTTTTTTTGCAAAAGCACTAGGGGCCAACCCTCACCCGTTACCCCCTAACCTCGCGAGATGTAGTCTGGCACTCATGTGAGCGATAGTCTTGACTCCTTAAAGCGGGTCGTATGGGGGATTAGATAGGGGGGAGTTATAAGGCTTATTAAGGGGGATACTAGGAGTTTAGACTGCGGCTCATATCGGTTTTGGCAGCAGATTTCATATCGAGGTGCGCAGTAAGTCACTTGAGCCCCTGACAAACTGCTGCCGTTGAGAAGGTTATTTAATCATCCTCTGGTTGTGAGTTGGGAATGGAGGAATGGATTCCCAGGTTTAGGGTTTAGGGTTGGTTGGGAATAATGGAGGAATAGATCCCCACGTTATCCCCAAAACCTAATAGTTTCCCATCTGCTCGTCCATTCCCTACCCCTTCAATGTCTTAGTAGCTCACATGTTCTGCTCCATTCCTTCATTTTCTACTACCCACCAGCATGTCATGTGGGAACCGCAGCGGAGTGTGGGTTTTCATTTGGGTTTATGTACGGTCTAGAGATTAGGGCTTAGGTACGCGAAGTTTCAGGTGACATGAGGAATGTCTGACCGCCAAAGAGTTTGTCTGTGGTGTGGCAATCAAGTTTACGCGCCCATTTTCACCAGAAGATGGTTCTAAGGTGTAAAATACTAGTGTGATAGACATGCGTATATACGGATCACAAGAAGACCTTGTACTTGCGAAGTCTTGTACATTACTTCTATTGTTCACCTGGTTGACGAAACTTGCCTTGAACCAGGTAGCAGACAACACGCCCTACGAGGACTGTGCTGCAAGAACATAGGAGATCCAGCCAAACAAAAAAACATATAAACACCTAACTTAAAAACTCCCATGTCCTACAACCTCTACACCCTGATAGAACCCTTACAGACACAAAAACC